GAGTCGCCACACTTCACTCAGCACACAAAGCCAGAGAAGAAAGGCAAAAAGTAACGCAAAATAGAGACAGTAAAGAGAGATATGAGGCAAAAGGAATAGTAATATGGAATAACAATATAGTTTTATTGGGTATTCTAAGTCACAAGGAGTGGGACGCATCTGCGCTAACCACTGAGAAGGATTTTGAGTCTCCAGCCTTCACTGGTTTTTACCATCCCGAGGACCTCAATCAGTCAGGAAGTCTACACCTCCCTACGTAGCTGGTTAGCTGGCTTAAACTAACTGTTGTGGATTTCATTGATAGATGAAGCCATGTTTTGGTTTGACCACCACTAGCTATGTCTTTTCCAACCTGACCCTATGTCAGTCAGCTAACATTGCCCGTCGAGGAACAGGAACAAAGACAAATAATAAGGAATAAGACAAAAGATGAAATGCAAACGTCGGGACAATAATATATAGCCTAAGAGAAAAGAGGAAATTAGTTACACAGATAGTTAAAATGTCCAAATAAGTATCAGTATTGCAATTAGATCGTCCAGGAGGGATTTTGTAAATAATTATTCCATTACAACCAGTGAAAATCGAATCTGGGACTTTTAGGTTACGTGACTAAGCTCGTTGATGATTCATCCGTATGTAAGCTGGAATTCAATGACTCCATGAATTGTTTGTCAATTTGTGACATAGTGCTACCCTCATCAGTGCCTTTGATGAGCATCCACGTCACCTTGATGTGGTGGTGAACCTCCCTGGTCTCAACTTCTCAGTACAGCTTCAGGATATCCATCCAGTAGACACCAATGAGCTGATGATTGATATTTAGATTATAGGACTTGTGGGGGCTTTGGGATTAGTTTCAGTTGTTCGTGACGAAAATCTAAGCGCTTCAGCTTATATTCTACACACAACCGGTTTTGATTCGGAAACTGAAAGACTCAGTGTGTAGGCTAGCCACCTCTAATTGTATCTATCAATTCAACTGCTCCTGTTGAACCAGTTATATTAGCTGTTGCTCTAAGAAGCTAGTTTTTCGTGCTTGGGAACACCTCTATCAACATGGTTGAATGAAGGTTTTGTTAAAGACATCAACAGTTCCATATTGGACTACCTCGTCCGAACAGGTCACAAAGCTAGCTAGCATTGAAGAGTCCTTCTCTGTCGTTTATCGGGTATCCAATAGATTACCAAAGGCCTCTAGATACTGATGAACAATCCAAACATTAGAGGCCATTGCAGTTTGCATAAATCAATCAGAGCTCTGTGTGAAAAGGAAACAGCTCCAACCACTGTTGCCAACCTGCCTGTTGTCGAACCGATAAATTCATAAAATTTGTGTTACTATCCCCAACTTATCTGATGTTCTGTTAGTTACGTGCTATTGTGGTGAGAGCTGTCTGCTAGCTTAAATTGGTAGACAGCAATTTACGTCAGTGTTTACGTCCCAAATCTTGATCATGAGAAAAGAACAAGAACAAAGACTAACCCAACAACCAATCACACCAGACTTTGAGTGGGCGGATACGATTCGCCGACGTATGGTCTGACCTTCAATGGACCTAATCTATCTTATTAGCCGACAAGTAAATTCTACCTAATCTTTTTTTCTGTCTCTTCATTAGTATTATTTTGTCTTCTCAATTGTAATATTTTACATTTTCAACTTTCTTGTTCTCTACTCCCAGCCGATTTAATTTCTTCACCTCACTACCACTGTTACTGACTTGAACAACCCTCAATTTCTAGTCATTTATGTTACGTCATCCAACTTATTTGCTCAATTTCACTTCTACTTAGTCTCTATCTGTAATTACCTCTGTTGCTACCGTGATTTAAGTTGAAACATTTTAGTCAATTATATTACGTCATCTGTGCGTCGGTGGTATAGCGGTTAGGACGCTAGCCGACCATGCACATGGTCCGGGGTTCGATCCCCGGCCGCCAACGCACTCCTTTACCTCACCGAGCCAGAAATAATGCTGGTGAAGAGGAAAGGTTGAGCATGAGGCTAGCAACCCCATCCTGTAAAATAAACAATGCTACAGAAACTTCGAGCCACTAGCTTGAAGGTCTATGTTCCACTGGGGAACGTGAAGGACACTTTATATTACGTCATCTAACTTACTAACTCAATCTTACTTTAGTTGCTGTCTGATTAACCTTGTTTCTATATTAAATCATTCTTGCAGTACCTGATCAATTATCTAAACTTGACAAACCTCATGTACACACACACACAAATAATTATATATAAATGCGATTGTACAGCTATGTGGATAAATTCCCCGAAAAGAGTCTCTTCGCTGAACGTCTTCATTTCTTCAAAGAAATGGTCACAAAGAGATGACAGAATAACTTCCAGAGAGAAAACAACCAATCAGAAGACTCTGTTTCTCTGCTAACAATAACGAATAATAAAGTACATAAAATTATATAAATATCTATTGATTTCCTGAATAAACGATCTGTTGTCTGACCCTTGTCTTCTGCCGTAACACTATACTGATGTGTATTAGCTCTTAGTCATGCTTTTGAAGTGTAACTTGTCGATACTATTGATTGAATGTCATTTAAAACAACATTTATGTTGTTAATACCCATATTTTTATAATTATTACTGTCATATAAATATCAGACTTGATGATGAATTGATGTTTATTTCAAATTGTCAACTGTTGTATAACTTTGTAAGAAACAAAACAAAAGCATTTGAAAGGAGATGCTGTTTTGAGCATTTCCAATTGCTATTGTTTTTGTTTAACAAGTCTCTATGCATTAACTTATGTAGACTCTGATAGATACACCTTCATTTGTGTGTGTGTTTGTGTGCGTGTGTGTGTGATACTTTGAAATCTATACTCCTATAAAAGTTAAAAGTAAACACCTTTTTCAGTCAACAAAAGCTTTGATGCCTCTGACAGATTGACTTACAGAGTTTCCATTAGAGTTCAGCAGTTCAAGTTGTCACACTCCATATATCACACAAATGTAGAAAAGAAATTCAGACGAAAAGTGATAGGCAGAAATGTAACAGAGAAAGAATAGGAATATGCAAGAGTATGAAGATTTAATGGATCTTGGAAATTACAAACAGTGAATACGTCTGTGCCATTCAACAAGCTTTCACTACGCTCAAGTCTGTGTGGAGGTCAACAACACTCAGCATCAAAAATAGGATCCGGATTTTCAACTCCAATGTGAAATCAATGCTGCTATACGGATCAGAGACTTGCACTGCGCATCATAAAGAGCATCTCAAACAAACTACAGACCTTCATTAACAGTTGTCTTCGCTCAATACTCAAGATCAAATGGCCGGCCAGAAAAGATCAGCAACAGAGATCTCTGGCAGTGAGCGAACCAACACAGCAGGAACCGATTGTGAAACAAATAGGCATGAAGAAATGGAGATGGATTGGCCATACTCTTAGGAAACCATCAAGTGACATCACTAGACAAGCCATTGCTCGAGTGGAACCCGAAAGTGCGAGGGTGACATGGAGGTGGTCATGTGAAGAGGAGATGAAGGCGTGTGGGCAGACTTGGAGCCAGATAAAGACTCTATCAGAGAACCGAACGCAATGGAGACGCACTGCTGAAGCCCTATGTTCCTCTAGGAATTAAAGGATACAATAATATAATAATAATTCAACAACGAATTTGAATATTACTAACTGTCTTCGTCCACTGGTTCTTAGCATCCCGAGGAATTCAACTAGACAGTCTATACCTGCCTAGATGGTTGACTGAAACAAACAGTCAAAGACTTTATCGACTGATACCGGATTTTAATTTTACTTCCCTTAACTTCCCTTTCCAACTTAATCCTATATCAGTTAACATTGACCCCTCAGGAAGGCAGTGATTCGGCATGTATTGATTACCTGTGTGCTTCGGTGGTTCAGTGTTAGAATTGGTTACAGGATTTCATCATGAGAGAGAACCTGCAGGGAGTACTGGACAGCTGGGTCCTGTGTTCGAACCCCGGCGGGTGCGTACCGATGAAGAGTCCCAAACTAGGACGAAACAACTGTCCAGTACTCCCTGCAGGTTCTCTAACCGATGTCAGCTCATGATGAAATCCTGTAACCAATCAATCAAATCCCTACAAACCAATACTTGAATATCAGTGTTAGAATGTTTGCTAAATCACGCTGAGATCCGGATAAAGTTCCCAACCGATGAACTCTTCAACCTTCTTTGGTATGCAAGCCGATAGTAAGTCCGGAAAAGAAGGAAGGTTGCACGGGAGGCTGGGAACCCAGCGGCGTGAAAAAGGACAGAAATACTATTGAAACTTCGAAGCATTGAAAAGAGATGTTGTTTTAGAATTTTCAATAGCTAGTGGGGTCATGGGAGTGTACTACTGAAGAGTCTCGAACTAGGACGATAAAACTATCCAGTACTCTCTGGCTTTCTAATGGTTCTCTAACTGATGAAATATAACAAATTACCAGAAAATAGAATTCACTAGTCGTTAAGTGCCGCCTCGTAAATTGAAGGTCTCGGGTTGGATCCCTGGTTGGATCATATGCACGTACTATGGAAGAGTTCAAATTTAGGGAACAGAAGTTTACCACACCCTGATTTTCAAGGATCCTCTAATGGATATCGCTTCTTAATGAAATCTAACTTGAAAATAAAATGAAGAATCGCATTATCCTGTCCAAATTTATTGTTCTAAGTTTATTGAGAAAAAAAATGTAAAAACTGTTTAATTGGTTAACTAGTAAGTAGAACTGATATGGCTTATTAGCTTAAGTACTTGATTTTCAGCAAGTAGGTCCCGAGTTCGAGTCCTACTCCGCCTGGCCAACTGAGTAGTATCCCGAAACCTCATGCAATCATAAGTGTGGCTCATAGCCCGGTGCATGAGATATCTGAGTTCAAACAGTGTGAAGTAAGTGTACTGATAAAAACGGTGTTATTTTTGTTCTGTAATCGATTTGGATCACTTTAACCTTTCTTTGTTCTCTTTTTTTCTTCTTCTCCATCAATAGTAATGTGCTTTTCTACTGATTATGTGGCTGCTGTTGTATACGCTTGCCTTTTATGGCGATCAAAGTAAGCTTTGTTTTTTTGTTGTTGTTGAAAATTCCTCCCCTACTTTCAGTTAACATTGACTTTTTTTTCAAGTATTGGTTTTGTAAGGATTTTGTTTGATTGGCTACAGCATTTCATCATGAGCTAACATGGGTTAAGGAACCATTGGCAAACCACCTGGGAGTACTGGACAACTGTTTCGTTCTAGTTTGGTACTCGTCATCAGTACGCACCCGCCACAGGGGGTTCGAACCTAAGACACTCCTGAAAACAATCACATTCCTACAAACCAACACTTGAATATCAATGAAATGCTCACTAGCGACTGGCCCTATTCAGGTAGGTAGCTACCTAGGGTTCTAGTGGGAAGTCGTGAGCAGTGGGCTACAGCAGGTCGTGTGTAAGGACAGACACTTGCTGAAGACAGTGGCTAGCGGTCGCGTTATATCATGAATTGGTAGAAGTTGGAATTCATGGGCAGGCCATTGAATCGGGTCCCAGTGGCTTGATGGTCTGCTAGCTAGCCTTGTCACCAGAAGGTCCTGGTTTCGAACCGTGTCTGTGGGTGCTTACTGATGAAGAGTCCTAAAGAGCTAGGACGAAACAGCTGTCCAATACTTCCAGGTGGCTTTCCAATGGTTCTCTAACCGATATCAGGTCATGATGAAATCCTCCAAACAATTAACTTTTTTTGTTTGCTTCATTTTGCACGTAATTATGCCTTAGATCTTATCACTCAAATGAAATGGTATTGATAGTTATTATTTCCTGTAACATGTTAGTACAAAGTATTAACGAAATTTCATATGCAGTTAGACACTAAATGTATCTTAATTAATCAGATGCTCTGTGAAATATAGGAATATATTGCAGGACGGGACTACACCTACTCCTACCATTTCAGCGGTAGAGGAATTTGCATCGGAGTCAATAGAATGATTGCTGACGAAATCTCTACATGAATACAAAAGGCTCGTGTAACATTCGTCAACTTATATCATTTCTGACCTAGGTGCGATATCCGGCTATTGATTGGAGGACATTTTTTTTTTTTTTAGTTATTCCTTTACGTTTCCAGTGAAACATAGGGCATCAAGCTAGAGGCTTGAAGTTTCTATAGCAGTGGTGATTATTGCTAGCCTCATGCCCAACCAACCTTCCCTCTTTACCAGTCTTACTACTGGCTTATCGAGGTAAAGGAGTGCATCAGTGCCCAAAAAATCGAACCCCGAAGCACCTGCGTGGTTGGGGAGCACTCTACCGCTGTGCCACCAACGCACAGTTTACTCTGTCCTATATAGGTGTGAGACATAGTCCTTGAAAATGGAAGATATGAAAAGACTGACTGTCTCTGATGACAAATGTCTACCTACTATTTCCCGTGTTGAGGGGTATACTATGTTGAGAAATATTCAGATTAGGCATAGAATGTCATGTAAGGAGGGTAAGTCTATCGATAAAGTTGTGAAGCTACATCAATCCAAGTGTCTGAGACGTGTGTTACGCATGCTGAACCGCTGTCTTCCTCGACGAGCAATGTGAGATGACATAGGATTAGGTTGGACTAGAGTTATGGATGGTAAAACGAAAACATGACATCAGTTCATGAAGTCTTTGACAACTGGTTCGAGGCAGCCACATAGGGATATGTAGCCTGCCTTATTGAAGTCATTGGGATGGTAAGAACCAATGGCTAGAGACTACTGGTGCCAGTTTACGCCGTCTCTGGCGTAGACGTGATATCCGACTATCGACAAAAGGGCGTGTGTACTGCTCAGTAGTCCGCTCCATTCTCCTTAATGGCTGGCTGTGTGACATGGCCATTGAGAGTGGAAGACATGAAAAGATTAGCTGTCTTTGATCTCCCGTGTGAAGTGGTATAATAAGGTGAACAATATCGAGATTAGGCATCGGTCAAGTTCTAGGTAGGTGGGAGGGGAAATCAATTGACGAGACTGCGAAGTTACATCGACTGAGATGGTTAGGACATGTGTTACGTATGCCTAGTCATCGCCTTCCTCGACGGGCAATGTTAAGTGATATAGAGTCAGGCTGGAAAAGAAACGAAAACATGTCACCAGTCAATGAAACCCACAACAGTTAACTTAAGCCACGTAAGAAGGTGTAGACTTCCTGACTGGTTGGGGTCCTCGGGACGGTAAACACCAATGGTTGGAAACAATTGGTGACATGGCTCAAAATCGTTCTCAGTGGCGCAGATGCATCCACTCCTTGTGACTTATGACTTCCATTTGAACTGTTTTGTTCTTCGTTATTACTATTCCTTTGTCTCACACCTCTGTTTACTGGCTCTAATATGCATTTCTCCTAATTTCTTCTCTTGCTTTGTGTGCTACAAGGTGGGAGTGTGGCGACTTGAGCTGCCGCACATATGTGCAAAGTTCTTTGTCGAAAACAGAGACAGACAGACTGGTGATATGACTCAAAATTATTCTCAGCGATGTAAATGCATTCACTCGTTGTAATCTGTAATATCCACTAAATACTCTTTTTCTGTATATTTATGTCCACTGTATATTTTATTTTTTGAATCTTTTTTCTCTCTGTCTCTTTCTATGTTTGTGTGGTTTATAGAGTGTGGCAGCTTGAACTGCTACACTTCTGTGTAAGGTTCTATGCTGGAACTGAGTCAGTCAGTCAGTCCGATGCCCTACCTATTTCATTTGTGATCTTTGTAGATTAACGCAGTATCTCTCTTTTTCTTCTTATCAACTGATATTATTATGTATCTTATTACAAAAATAGCCGAGAGGTTTAATTATTGTCAGAATCTTTCGATTTCATGTTAGTTTGAATAAAAAATTCTAAAATATTTAGATGCTGTTACAATTTCCCCATGTGTTCAGTCTTCGCTTTGAAATATAGAGTATTCATCATACTTCTTCAGTGTATGCATATGGACAAAAATGGAGTGGATGTTTATTATCATTATTATTATTATTGTACTACATTTTGTGCTGTGTAGTTTACTCTGTGCTTTTATCTTACTTAATTCGGTGTTTAACGCTGAATAAAGTTAATCTGGTGATTAATTTTAGTGTTTCTCGAGGTCTACTGCACTCGGGGGATAGATGATGCTTCTATTCTTTCCTTCTCTCTCTGTCTTGTGTTGAACTGGAGTATGATTCCTCACCAGTTCTTGCAATTGCTTAAGTCACCCTTCCTTAGGAGTTAGACAAGATAGCGGTTCTATTGATATAAGAGAGTGTTAAGATTCTAAGAAGTAATCTATGTAGGTGGAGAGAGAGAGATTGATTACTGAATCCTGGTTCATTGAGTCTGCACCCGACACATGCAACAGAAATGACTTAATGCAAATACCAGAAATATGGAACATATTATTACCGCCAGTCAAATCAGAGGAGGATAATAAATAATCTTAACATTCTATTTCAATTCAAACACATAACATTCTAACAAGTTACTTATTATGACTTAAAAGAACACTCGTCTTATTTCCCATGTGATTGCAATTGATCTATAACACATATTATTATTTCTGAATGTACATTATCCTATATTGATTTTTATTCCAATATCTAATCGATTCCACTCATGTATATAAATGAAAGAAAAAAGTAGTATGAGTAACTTGATATGATTATGAGTACTAGTTTGTGCTCGAAACGTCATCAATAAATATTACTGTACAACTCTGATTTATCAAAATAATATCTTATCCATATTGAAGATAGCAGTTCCTTCCAAGTCTTCTGAAATAGTGGTGAGAATAACTACTGAGGTTTCTGGGTCCGTCTTTAGTGCTTTTGGAGGAGATTCTGTCTTGTTCTGTTGCCTTTTTGGCTTTGAGAAACTTTATAGCATTCAAGACTTTTGCTTTTCTTGGAGGATTGGTGTTCACTGGCATTTCTGTGACTACTGGTAGTATTTCTAGAATGGTTGCAGGTGGTTGTTGATTCAAGAGTTCTTCACCTTTTCGGTAATTGGGTTTCCTTCACTATCTTTGACTAGTTTCATTTGTGTTGATCCCTTCCTTGATAGAGACTTAGTGAATTGATACAGTATTCTGAGGTCTATTTTACATACTGCCTTTTCTGCTTCGATTGCCAGTGTGTCGTAGAATTGTTTTCTGTCTTTCTTAACGCTTTTCTTCACTTCTTTATTCAGTACGTTATCGGTTGAACTCAGCGTCTCCTTCCGTTGTCCTTTTTCCTCTTATTCATCTTATGCTCCACCATACCTTTATCCTTCATTAATTTCCACGTGACCGTAGTCAACCATTCCTTTTCTTGCCTCTTTTTCCTTCCTAAGGCGGTAGTACAGGTTTCCTTCAACATCAGCTTCAGGAAGTTCCAGTGTTCTTTCACATAGGTGTTTCCTCGGTGATGTAGTTTAACGTCTCCGATTTTTCCCTGATGGTTACAGTGAATATGTCCTTTCTAGTTTCATCCTTCGGTTTGTATATGAAAATAGCGGTGTACTGTGGCGTGTTAATATGGGAGAGGCTAATTAGCCTGAGAGGTTATGTAAGTTATCAAAAAACAAAATCCATTTATGAGCGTTTGAAGAATTTGTCCGTATTCTGCGTCAAATCATCTTTGTTGTGTTATAAACCTTGCATTTGAGTGAATTATGAAATTCCATAGACGAAGTTAAACTACAAGGCCCGTGAACGAACGAATGCACCACTGAACTAGAATCGATCAGTTCCGTTAAAAAGACGAATATGAGTGAGAAAAGAGAGAAAATCGAGTTCAATATTAAAATAATGAATGCTTTACCAGGTTGTAGGGAAAAGATTTATTCCCATTAATCACTTAAAGCTACGCCCTAAAATGAACATTTCCTAATCCTAAATTTTCGTTCAATGTAACCCACTTTAACCTTAATCTCTACTAGTAAACCAACTCCAATCTAATCAATATGTAAGTCTACTCTAAGCCTAACTGTAGCTCACCTGGATGACTACAAATACTCATAATTATATCAATGTATATGGGTATTGCATCATTTCGATTGCACGTGTTTAGTGTTGATCCGATGAATAGAAAATAATGTAAATAATAAGGAATTCAAAGTCTCGATAGTATATTAACATATAAAGAAGGAACATTAGAAGCTCTACATAGAATTCTTACTATAAGGCTTCAATTAAGATGGGACATTTAAATTAATCAACTCATTCACTTAAAAACAAATTATGTCAGCCGGTGGATCCGATAGATCCAGTTAATAAAAATAATATTATTTATGAAATACCATGTTTTTGATGTAGTTTTATTCTCTGAGCTGGATGGTTTATTTGCGAAGCTTTCATTGCCCTACTAGGCGACATCTTCAGCGCATACTTTTTGATTTCTTCACGAGTTTATTAGTCATCTCTCCTGGTGAGTGAACTTGAACGTGATTGGTTGTCTTTGTATGTTTTCACACTCTCTAGTCTACTTGTATTGGTACTGATTGTTTCATTGACCTGAAGTTTGACCCTTGGTGTATGAGATTTCCTTCTTATCGGTTGGTAAATTTTGTCTATGTCAATGTGTCTATTGATTGACGATTCACTGGAATACCAGGCTTCTAAAAATTCTGTGCCATTCTTGGTGTTTCCTCTGTCTAATATTTGAACGTTGGTTGTCCCAGTCGAATTGATGTTCGTGGTTGTCCGTCTGTCATTCTGTATACATAAATCAGGGTTTTCTATCCGAATCGCTAAGGTCTCATCAATGTAAGGTATTCAGAAGCATACTGTTTTCAGGAGGGTTTTTGTGACTTTGTAGATAAGTTTGAATAAATTCTTGTTGCATACCGAGTAGTAAGTGACCAGTGTTGAAATACATAGCACTCCTTAGTCAAGTTGGATAATGTTCTTTGACTGTTTTAGATAAAACATGCATTGAACAATCTATAATATCTCTTTTCACAGGAGCAAGTGAATTGTTTATTTTCAATAGTTAGTCTCATTCTAGAAAAAAAATTGGCTTAAGATGAGTGCCGTAATATAATTAGTAGTAGGAACAATGCACTTATCTTATGGCATCTCGCTCAAACTGAACGACTGTAACAGTAGTGGTTATTATAAACAGGAGTATGACTCTTCTCTGTGTGGATCACTGATAATGGTGAAAGTTATTTTGTGAATGTTTCCAATATTGTAAAATATTGTCATATGGAGAAGCATCAGTGAAGAAAGTTATACTTGAACAGTTAAATATCACTGACACATATCCTTGACTAATTGAAGAGTTTAGAAGTTCTTCGTCGAGAAGTCGAACCGAACCCGAGCCTCTGGTCTGAGCATTGATGAGCACATTCATTCTACCATTGAACCACAGAAAAATGGACAATTTCTTTCTTTTTTTCATTAGTGTTGTTTACTAACCTAATATTTTCTCTAATGTGTGTGCGTGTATGATATTCAGTATTATTCATTGGAAGTCATAAGTATTTTTTTGTTTTTGATCGATCGAGTAAAACTAGGTCAATCGATTACTTGGTTAATTTTGAATGATTCACTTGTAATTTTCAAGTATTGATTAGCTGTAAAGTTAGGACATTAACTCATATCAGTTAGAAAGAACCATCGAACACCAAGAAGTACCGAATAGGTACTTTGTCCTCGTTTTGGCTTCTTCAGCTGACAGGTTTATGGATTAGACTTGTAACCCAAAGGTTCTAGGTCTACTCGCTATTGGGATCATGGGGGAGGGGTTCTGCTGAAGTATCCTAAACTAGGACTAAACATCTGTCCAACACTCTCTGCTTATAATCGTTTTACTCAATACTTTAACAAACACTTGTATATTGTTTATCATACTATTTTAATTTTATTATTATTTTTTGTTCCAGTTCCCTTTTAGGTGGCGATATGACAAATCAGCACAGTACATAGTTCCTTCTATGTGTACAAACATTCCTTTAATGGTGATTACGACACCATTTTGAGCTTTCAGATTTCTTTATCCTTTTTTTCTCCATTCCCTGTTGTGTTTTCTTTGCTTCGCTAATAATAATAATAATACTGATAATAGTAATACTAATTAATATTTGGGGATTAAATGTATGATCTAATCTTTTGTTATTATTAATATTATCATCACTATTTTTCTACGATTAACATTGTGTCTTCTTTAGTCATATTTATTGCCAGCGATTGCCAATAATTTTTTCTTCCTCTATTTTGAGTGTTTATTGATTTTTCCTGAAATGTATACATATAAGTTAACATTATACAGTTAGGGTTTGGAATCAATATATCGATCAATAAGTGACCATTTCGACTGCCTCTTCCTCCTTGTGTTTTCTTAAAAGAAATCTTTATGGTGATGGTGGTGGTGCGTTGGTGTAAGTTAGATTTGAAAACTTTTATTTTTTTTTCGCTTTCTTCTAAATTCCATTCATGAAATATGCATTTTTTGTTGTGAAAGATATTCATCAATGGAAATGTATTGTATTATATTTATATTGTATGAATTTATAATTCTCCTTGTGGTTGGTATCCCTTGCCTTCTTTGCTTCTTTTTATATCTTTTCTCATGTCTTATGTAAAAAAGAATACACAAGTTTTCTCTTGTACTTCTTTCTTATTTGAAGTTATCATTATCGAGGGGGAATATGCGTATTTGTGTGTGTGTGTGTTTGTATATGGCTACAAGGAACGTGTGGGAATCATGCGGTTGATGACCTACAAATATTAATTATTGATTTATTCTTATGATACACGTTTTACATCTGTTATAGAGTCTGGCATATTCTTTATTTCTGAAACAGAGTAATGCTATACAGGCTGATTAGTGTGGTAGTAATAAAGTAAGAAAAGATTGGATTCGGAAGTATTATTATTATTATTCCCTTGGGTTCTGAGTGGAACATAGGGCTTCAATAACACATCTCCAATTTATTCTATTTTTCCGGTGTCCTCTTCAGCTGGGTCCACGATTGTTCATGATCTCTCATCTCCTCCTCGCACGATCTCCTCCATGTCACTCTCGAGGCAACGAACCACTTGTCGCTTCCTATTCGGATTCCACTCGAGCAATGGCCTGCATTGCGCGCGATGTCATTCGATAGTTTCCTCAATGTGTTCCCGATCCATCTCCATTTTCTCCTGAATATTTGTTGAGAGATCAACTGTTGGTTGGTTTGTTCACAGCCGGAGTTTCTTGTTGCTAATTCTTTCTTGCCTGCTGGCCACTTGATCTTTAGTGTGGAACCAGCCAGCGAAGGTGGCATCTGTTGATAAAAGTCTGTAACAGGCTGTTGGAAATCCTTTTCGTGACATGCAGTGCAACTTCCTGATCTGTGTAAAAGGACCGACTTGACATTTGTGTTGAACAGAATCCGAATCTTGTTGTTCATGTTGAGGAGGAGTGCGGAAGATTTCTAAACTGGTTTCAGGTTGATAAAGGTGTATCATGCCTTTCCAATTCTGGTTGGCTAGCTTTGACATCTTCATCCGTTCCAACTGTCTGTAGTTCAGATGATGCTTTATAGATAAGTCCGGAAGTAGTAGTTGGTAGGTTATTATGATTATTTTTCGTTCTGAATGGCATATGGGGCTTCAGAAACATATTTCCATAATGCTTAACTGGCTCCCATAAAGTTTCATTTCTTTCTCAAATTATCCCCTCCATATCACCTTCGGAAGCTCAACTTGTCGCCTACCATCCGGGTTTCAATTGACAGTCTGTTTGGCGTGTAGTATCATTTAAGAGTTCTCTCAACATATGTCCAATCGATTTCCATTTCCTTTAGCAATAGGCTCTTGGCTGGTTTGCTAAACTGCCAGAGTTCCTTGTTGTTTGTCATTCTGTGCCATCTGATTTTCGGTGCTGAGTAAAGGCAACCACCTGTTAGAAATGCTTTTGGTGACACACTGACTGGCTTAAAATTGGTGTGAAAATTTGGATCATTTTCCTCTTACTGAATTCAGTAGATTTCTACACTGACTTGAGAGTAGTGAGGGCCTGTCTTGCCTTGTTGATTTTTTCACTGACTTTGACATCCTTATCGGTGCCGCCTATGGCTGAAATGACACTGCTTGTCCTGGTAAGTGAATTCCTTCCGATGGTGATCATTAATGGTTGTTGCTGTTGGCCGCATTGAGTTTCTTCATTAACTCTGTCTTCGGTACGTTCAGTTTAAGTCTTGCCTTCATTGTCTCTTCTGCCAAATTGTTGGTTTTCTTTTATGCATCTTCGAGTTTGTCAGACATGAGATATAAATCATCCACGAAATTTAGATCTTTTATCTACTCACTCCCCACTGTCTATTGTATGATCCAGTTCACCACAATCAGGAAGATCGTAGGTGTGTTAGTAGATAGCCTTACCTTACTCCTATCTTCACTTCAAAGGCTCCACTAAGCTCTCCGTTATAAATTAATTGACTTGTGGAATTATCATATAACGATCGTGATACTTTACCCTCTAATATTGAAGCAGCTTCCAAATTGTTTCATGTTCACTGCTGTCGATGGCCTTTTCTAAGTCGATGGATTTGAGGTAAAGAGTTAACAGCCACGGTTTGTTCGATGGTGATGCATAATGTTCCTGTTTGATTTGTTTTCCGTGAATCAAGCCTGTTCCAGGTGAATTATTCCATTCAGTACTTCTTATAGTCTTTCCACGATAATTCAGCTTAAGGAGTATGATTCCACACCAGTTCATGCATTAGATTCTAAGTCACCTCTCTTTGGCAGTTTAACAAGGTAGTCTTTCTTCCAACCGACAGGTACCTTTCTATCCTTCTCTACATCCTTTGTAGCAGTAGTGTGAACATGTCCTCTGAGATCTCTCAGTTTGTTCTCATTGTTTCTTCTTGGTGGGATTCCATGTGTATTCATTCTGCAATATAAGATTAAATATTTATCGCATAGATGGGTAGTTGCACTGCTAGGCATCAATTACACCTGCTTTAGCTTATTATACATAAGAAGTTAGTTTTTTGTTGACGAGTGACAAATTTAGTTGAAATAAAAATGTAACTTTTAGTTTTAGTTACTCAATTTTTAAATATTACATTCTGACGTTTGAATCAGACGCCAATTATTGAGGTTTCTGAGGAGTTAAACAGTAGTCCTATTTGTTATGTGAAAGGTATCACTGTGGTAGCCAAATATATAAATGTTTACATACTTCTATATCTATTATAAACTGGTACAGAAGAGATCGAATTCGCGATTTGCAATTTACACACAGTGAGGTGAAATTCCACTACAGTCTCCATTGGTAACTGAAATTATTAAGATCATAGTGCATATGAGCTGCTTGATGCCATGGATGGCAGTCAATAAGGCAAACATTGATGCATCAGGGCAAAATACTGTTGATTGGTAGTTAGTTAGTTAGTTAGATACCACTCACACCAACCAGTAGTGCTTGCTAGCCAGATCGAAACACTGGTCGGCCATTCAGATCGATTTGCGGTAAGCTTATCAACGGTGTGCTCGGTTAGATTCAACTCAAGGCTAGCCAGAATTCGGGTGGTTTCAACTGGTTCAGTTCTCCTAACTCAGTCTAACCGGGTGCACTGCTGAACACCTCGGCCTCAAATATACTAAAAGACTCTCCAGTGTTCAGTTCAATTCGATCTGGCTAGCAAACACTACTGGTTTATGTGAGTGGTAATGAACTACTCATACCAATAAATCAGTAGTATATAGCGTCTTGCACGTGTTACAGAAAACAGTTTATGTTCTAAGCTAGAAATGTGAATTAAGATGATTGTAAAAATATTTATCAATTGAAAATGAATGGTTGTAATTAAGGATATGTTATGTAGATCTAATTTTCCTAAAATACTACACGTATCTTTACACTGCTGGTTGTATGTCTATCACCCCACTTATGACCTTGGAACCCTATTGGTTGTTGACTGTCTTAACTTGCCAATGTAATTGGCGTCTGTCAAGGTCACTTAACGCATATATATACTCAAGTACTGTCAACCATTGTTGCTGTTGGCTCGAGACAGTAAAAGCTGTCTACGTAGGCGGCTTGTCTTCTTTTCTTGCGTCGCGGTTTCGGTGATATCGTATCGTGTTGTTGTTGTTGTTGTTAATAGTGGTTAGAACAGTAGGCTGGCGAATCGACAAGATAAGAAATTCGGCGAAGTTCAACAATAACGTCCCAGGAGCGCGAACGCTCCAATGACCTTGAACGCATGATAGTCGTTGGCTAAACGGCACCTGTTATTATGATAGCTGAAATATCAACGCTATTCACCAACTAAGGAGCAAATTTCACCCAGATCACGTTTTTAAGTACTGTTTGGACAATGTTAATAGCTCGTTAGGCTAAGGATCAGGGTTATAATTTAGGATTAGGGTTAGTTCTACGGTTACGATAAGGGTTGTAATTAGTGTTAGGATTAAGGTTAGGGTCACCATTATGAATAGATTTAGAGTTGATGGCATTTATTTTAATTTGTTTTCTTATCCACATTTCCCTGGTAAGTAGTCGTCAATCCTCTTACTGGAAACCATAGTAATTCAACCGAGGGCTTTTGGGGAAGACTACGCAACTGGATAAGAGAGATAAACAATTCACAAAAACAGCTCATCTTTAGTCACCTCGGTGAATACATGCACAGAAACTAGTCTAACTTAGCAACTGATACTCCTCATTATAACTAGGACGTATTTTTAAGCTATGTCATAGAAAGATAACCTGTTTAATGTGTTTTCAAGCATTTTCTTGTCAATACACATCAGTTTCGTGCACAAATTCCTCATTTTTATGATTGGCCGGCTGAAGGTCACTCGTGCGTTCGCACTCCTGGGACGCTATTGTCGAACTTTGCCGGAAATTCGTTAGCGCAACTACCAAGTGTATTAACGGTCATATCAAGGTAGTCATCATGAGACCCAAGTTGAATACTGCTCGATAATTTCTTCCTTATATCGTTAGTGTTTATATGTCATTCACAGTGCATCTAGATGAAAACCTCGACCAATTAGATGAATAATATAAGATTTTATTAATAACTGGATCTTGTGGCTTAATCTGTAGACAGAGAGAGAGGGAGAGAAAGTCATCATTGGTTACTATTGTACTGCTGTTGAGACTTATTTTCAGGTGTATATTGCATCCTTGATTAGCAACAAGGAACTATGGTGGTGCAGCAAACCAACGAAGAGCCTGTTGCTCAACAAACACGCCAAATCCCGATATACACTGAGGAGACCGTTGAATGACATCACACGAAAAGTAGGCTGTTGAGTAGAACCCGAATAGGAGGCGATGATTTAGGCTTGGGTCCGAGCGTGACATGGAGCAGATGAGAGCTTACAGGCAATCTTGGAGCCAGCTGAAGTGAACTGCAGAGAACATAGTGAAGCAGAGATGTGCTGTTGAAGCTGTATGTGTCGGAACCAAAGAGAATTCATGAGCCATTGAATCGGTCCCAGTGGCTGAATGGTATACGAGCTTGCCTTGTAACCGGAAGGTCCTGGGTTCGAACCGTGTTGGTGGATGCGTACTTCCGATGATTCCCAAACTAGGATGAAACAGCTGTC